TCAGAACCAGTCTCGGCTTCTCTCCTCCGTACCGGGGTGGATGGCATCTGTCATACCGATGGAGCCATTCAGCCCCACGCGAATTGATCCCTCATTCGCACTAGCCCTCAAGTCGGTGACCCGTGCTCAATTGTACATGTATGTCGTTTCCAGACTCGGGGTCTACCAGCGCTCGAACCACCTACCGGTGGCGTGGCTGGTGTGTCTGCTTTCATGGAGAACCGAAGAAGTTGCGGTAATGGGAAAAAAACCAGTAAGTTACTTCTAACACGATGTTCTCAATTTTAATGGGCTCTAAATGGAGCTGCTTACTAGACAGATTACCTTCATTTCTCAGTAGGATAAAGTGGTCGAGCCGGTATGATGCTTCCCCAATGGCCGTTAAATACACCATCAGACATGCTCTGAATGCGAAACACGATGCATCAAAGCCACCAGTGCACTGTCAGATAGTGGTCGAACTGTTGATTCTCTATCTATCAATAATCCATCCTCAGTTATACAATAGTCTCGAGGGCAGCCACGAAGGACGGCTGAGACCGTAACTCGATTGATGTCTTCGTCTCAACGAAAGTTGTTATAAATAAATCGTGCTAACCATCCATGGATAGCGATGGAGCGTGTAATAGTCGAGTCGCTACGTCCGGGAGCCTTCCGACATGCATGACTACTGAGCGCCCAGCCGGAGTGACAGGTCATCTAATCATATGCAATATGCGACCTGCTGCAGTCCACCCAACCCACTCCTCAGAGTTCTAACCCAAGAAACCCGAATTTGTCCATACTTGGACCCAGCGGAGAGGGCCGCCCCCGTCAACGATCATGGCGTTTCCGATCGCCCGGTAGCTGGTACTATGGTCATGTCTTTGCTGCTCTCACACCAGTCGTGTGAAGCGACTAATGATACCCCTATACAGAATAGACTTATCGCCTTTGAGGAGATTACAGGGGTCGTCTGAGCCCTCTGTACCCCGTACCTAAGCCAGATCTTGGACCTCCAAGCGAATCCGGAATTTGTCATTCTTCGTGAATCGGAACTTCGGCCGGTGACCAGTCATAACCTTGTTCTCGAATATAATAGGTGACGCCGACGGCGAGCTGGAAGAATGCGTGGCCAATAACCTCGGAAGCTCGCAAGCATGTTCAATGCCAGCACTATGAGGGTCTATGTGCAGTACTCCGTAATTAACTCCACGCCCATCGTGTTCTCCATTTTCATCCTTGGATGTCGCCTCTACTCACCATTGTCGGACATTTGACCGACAATGTACAGTACTTCCCACTGCGTCAGAAGAACCAGGCTCCCAATAATCCGCTTCGGGTAATTCGCCATCCTTCCACGATGACCACCAAGTAGCGCAATGTGGCAATGAACGATTAGAGTCTAGACCCATCTGCTTGAAGCGATAGTTATTGACAACTTGACGCCTATCATGTGGATGGCATGGGTGACAACCAGCATAGGCGCAATGCCAATAACTCTTTGGGATAATGCCCGTGACGAGACATGACAGGAAGGGCCGACTACGGACAGAGAACGATAGCCTTCAAATGAGCATTTAGACTATCGCAATTTATTTCCGCACGAAACTTCACTCTCTATTATTCGTTGTGCTATTCATTGCGATTAGCTCTGGTGCCGTCCTATGAGTATCTTGGTGGGCCATTTCCAGCCGGGGCGGGTCCACACATTAAACTTTCGACTGATCGATTTGTCCCAGAATGATCATCAGCGTTCTGCATGGCTAATGCTTCGCTGTGAGACAGCTAGGGACCACGTAAGTACGTTGAACGGTCATACAGTCAGTACTTGGCTCTATCCTGTCACTACTTGGGCATCTCGATACGACGTAATGCCCTCGACATTGTCAAGAGGCAAGCTTCTCGCGTTGTTCATGCTGGGTTGTTACCCATTGCACTAATCTCGTCCACGGCCCCATTCGTGTTGCTTCTCGGCTGATGCTAACGGTGCTATCAGTGCCTGACACCCGATGCACGAAGCAAGGAGGGGAGTGTTAGCGGAATTAAGTCATTCGCTAGAGAGGCAATTGAAGTGATAGGAGAAAAATGAACACGATGATTACCGGGATTGGGTAGTGTACCTTGTGAGGATCATTCTCCACCCGAACTACTCCGTTTTATCACTCCGACTCGAGGCATACTCAATCTACGGAATACCGTAGGTGGACTTACTACCAGCCCTTGAGGATCGTGACTCTCTGGTCGTCTATTATTTGCACTGCATGCAAATGGAGCTTGAAGTGCCGGTGAGTGAAGGATCGACAACGGCAAAGACCTTGTGGAAACGAATCAATGGCATCGACGGGGTAGCGGCCTCGGCTCGTTCCCCAAGAACTGTCAGCTATACGGGATCCTTTCCTATTCAGGGAAGACTCGAGAGGTACTTTTTACGCTCTCCAATAGTTATACCTGAGGGTAACAACACAGAAAGACATTAGTATTCACGCCCGAATGCAAGCGAGCGGATGGGGACCCATCCGCTGCTGTGCCACATAGGACCACGCATTAGTGACACGGCTTGGATGCATCCAATGGTCTAGCTTCTATGGCACTGATTTTCTCTTATGGGCTATTTGATTCTGGTGCTTCTTGGGGAAGAAAAGGTCATTAGGGCTAATGGTGATGCAGTGGGCGCATCATCCACCCGGAGGCGACCTAGGGACAGCTGATACTTGGATGAGGGCGATCCTGTAAGCTTGATACAGACTGTGGATCTATTGATCGCCCCATTCATTCGATTTGCCTCAAATCGGTCCCAGACCGTCTCCGATGCATGTTTAAAATGCCTTCTCTCGTGCCCTGTCTCTGACTCGTCGTGAGTACTTCTATGTGCCTTGCACCTTTCTTACCTGCTGTGTCAGAGCGAGCTTCTGAAGGTCTAATTATCTCAACCATTGGTCATCTTGACTTGTCACCATTTCCTTGATTGTTTCACAGCCATGGTACTGATTCACCTGGGTGGCGATTCGCAACATAAGCTAACTGCACCAGGCTCATACTCCGGTATCAATGGATGCGCCGTTAGACGGGCTGGCTTGTTTGCACTTTGCTTTGATTTACATCGATGACAGCGGAAAATTGCGCTTCGAAGCATCACCTTCCATTGCGGATAGCTGCCAGACAATTCTGTCGCCGAACGTGACCGAGAGCTTTTTACGGGCCGTGGCCTTGTCTGGGAAGGACGAGTCGAATAAACTTCTAGGTAAACCTGGTGGTGCCACACATTGACTTCCAGATGCGCTGACACCGGCAAAAGATGGATCAAGAGGCAGAAGCCCATTGTCGCCTGAGTCTCCTAACAGCAAGTCGATGTATGGCAGCATCATTTCTTCACTGATAATGCAAGCTAACATATTTTCAGGTTCCGCAATACCTCAGAGCCTTCCTCAAACAAGCGGAAACGAGTGTCGCATGAGTGTCTTGTACCAATGAGCATCACTTGTCACCAGAAAACCATGCTCCCTATTCGCAATGCTAGCATCCTCCGGCGATACTATGAGAAGGCCTTCGAAGGCCTACAACAGATCAATTGTCGCATTCTTGCCAAGGCATACATCAAGCTCGTTGAGCCGCGAAAGCAGGTCAACTATCCGTACAACGGACGCAAGATCATTTCTGGCACATCTCAACAGTTTGATCCCGAGCTCACGAAGCCAGCCTGGTGGCCAGCGGGCGTCACCCACAGAGAGCCCGATCACCTTCTCAAGAACGGTAAGAGGATTGTTCAACGGAATTCTCGAGATGAAGCACGCTAAGTGAATGACAGAGCGAGTCAAGCTCTTGGTCCATATTTTGTGCGAGTTACGCGAAAGCCACGCCATCTGCGTCGAGAAACTCAAAGAAGCGGATCAATCTGTGCGCCGCCAGATTCAACCCGTCGAACGGTTAGCTATCCTGGATGAGATCTACCATGTCCGGGGGGAGCAAGAACGATACTTGGAAGGCAGAACAGGTATTTTCCTCTGACACGATGACCGCACCAGAGACTGACATGGCTCCAGACGGGCCCATGGTCGTGTGTGTATCGCGCGTTCACCTTCCGGAGCAGCTTGCGGATAGCCAAGCGATGGGCTCCCCGACCAGCTCATCCATCAAGGACAGCGTGAACCCTGTGTATCGAAAAGAGATCCCCGACCTAGAATCCCACACCTCCGTCTTCGACTCCTGCAGCAGCTCCTCGGCCACACCGAAGAGCAGCACCGGGACTCTTTCCGCCAAGCCCCTTGAGCCCTGCAAAGGCCCTACCATCCAGGTCTCGTGGGACAGCAGCGCCCCGACTTCTTCATATGCACCCATCGGCGGTAGCAGCGCCTCCCGACGGTCACGCGAGGGTGATAGCACAGCTGGCTACTCCCTGGACCTGACCAGCAGTTCCATGTACCACCACGAGCCATCGACCCTCGAAACCAGCTCGCTACCTCTCCGATACTACCCCCACAGCCAAGCGCAGCAGACGCTGCCTGTGATTGGATTGTCGAATACCGATCTCGGAGGCTGCCCGAACCCGTACTATTTCAATTATTGATCCCCCAAAACTTCAAAGCGCTAACGCATTTCTTTTGTTGTGTGCCATTAAAACGAGTGGAAAGATTTTTCCCCAAAAAATGCTGGGTCTCGCTCCCACCGGGTGGTTGAGAGGGGTCGCTTCACTAACATTAGTTTCTAATCTTGAATGAACTCATCATATAGAGGGGGCAGGAGGACGGGAAGGGAAGGAAAGCAGCACGGGAATTTTCATTTGTACTCACTTCTTTCTTTTGTTTTCTCTTATTGTGTGCATTTCGGGTCGCTACAGCATAGAGAATCGCTAGAGGACCGGACCGGTTGTATAGAATTTCGATGGGACCAAAAGAGGTTTGGAAGGGTCGGGAGAGTCAGGCATGGATGTGGATGTACTGTACATATAGACCATACTTTAATAATCAAGAGACCAAGAGATATTTGAATGAAGACTCGAGCGTGAATGTACATTGTCATCAGGGGAGGGTTGCGGGGAGCAAGCAAAGAAAGATCAAAAAAAAAAAAAAAAAAGCACAGAATTCAATTGAATCTGGGACGCCCACGACGCATTCATTATATTCTCCTGACAGCCGTGCTTACGTATACAAGGAAACAAGGTGCAGGATGGGGGGATGCAAGCATGAACTGTTCCTACCTACATTGTACATTGCACATTGTATTCCATCTAAAGCAAGGGATGGGATGGGGAAGGGAACGTCAACCGGTTTTCGACGGAGATAACTTGTTTTTTGGCGCGTGTCTTGCGTTCCCATGTCTGTGCTTGGGCGGGGGGGTTAGATGTGTTATATTGTTCGGAGGGTTTGGAGGTGTGTGTGCATTGGGTGCGTTGGGCTTTTTGAAGGGTGAGAACTTTGGGACAGGTTCAAATCCCGAAGGAAGAGATAGGTCTGATGAGGGGGTTGGGGTTTTGGGAGGTGTGTTGGGTGCGCAGAGAGAGAGAATGTGTGTGTCTGTGTGTGTGTGTGTGCTGGGCGGAGGTTGACTTTCCTTGTGGATGGTCAGGAGCTTTATGGAGGGTTGAGCGTACTGACTGTGTAGCGTTTGCATGTCACGAAGTAAGTAAGTAGGTAGGTAGGTAGGTAGACAGACAAGCTTATACGTGATCGCTTTCGACTCGGTGGCTTGGGATACGATTAGAGAGAACTATGGGTTACTACGGAATATAACTTCGACTTAATACCCCAAAATGCCTTCCTCCCTACCTCTCCCACAGTGACCGCCACGGTCGAGGTCGCTCTCTTCACTAGCTTCACAGACTGCAACTCCGTATGCCCATTCTGACCGCAAGGCTTGATGAATCGTCAACCGACGAAGGGGCCTGGGATCCAACATGGCGTAGATGACGTTTCGACATGGTTCCTGAAGGGGGCATAGCCGGTTTTGATCAATACATACCCATAAGATGGCATCCTCGTGATGGACAAGGACAAGAAGGAAAGGGGATCAACGTGACACTTACAGGCCCCAAGCCCTCGATCAAGGCAAATCCCCCCTCCTGCACTCTTTCCCTTGCATATCGGGCATAAATCCGATCCTCTTCCGACTGGGCCACGATCCAGGCTGGACGGCCCCTGCGCATAAATAGGTAGATCATGCCGAGGGCCCAGGCGTCGAGGGCCTTGGGGTCGATTTCGGTGATGCTGGTGGCGGTGGTCGTGGTGTTGAGAAGGCGGTATACCTCTGGCGCATAGTATGGACTGCTGCCCGCTGCGTGGAGGCGAGGGGTTGCAGCAGACGAGGGGAAGAATGCCCGGATTTTGATTCGCACGGTTCCTTCTCCAGCGAGAAGGATGTCCTGTGGGTTGAGATTTAAGCTCGTCCAATGGGGTCCATTGTGAGTCTGTTCGAGGTGAGATCGAAGGTCGGGGTGGTTGTGGAGATATGCGACCCCTCGGAGAAGTTGTTTGAAGAAGCAATTGGCTTCTGCAGGAGGGAGCTGCGTTGTAGATGCGACCACTTCCTGGAGAGTACCCCCTGTGCAGTAGGGGGTGATCAGATGGTGATTGCCCGCATCGTCGATGATTGCGGGCAGGAATGGGAGGAGGACGTTGGGGTGGTTGATGGTGTTGCTGTTTACTGCGTTGTTTTTGGAGGAGTGGGTAGAAGAAAGGGGCTGAGAGGATGGGGGGATGATCTTGACGGCGTAAATCCTGGGTTTGCTGTTGGCTGGAGAGCGTGGAGAGAGTCGGTAAAGGTAGGTGGTGCTGTTGGCGCTGTGGCGCAGGGTGGTGAGGTAACGGCCGTATCTGGAGATGGTCGAGCGGGACAGATGTGGGGGTGTCTGTTCACAGGACAAGAAAGAAGAAATTGAGTCCGGGAGTGCGTGGAGGTGCTTGCTGGGATGTGGTGACTGTGGGCTGTATGAGGGGGTTTGGGATGGTGTATACGGTGGCGGCGGCTCACTGCATAGAGGCTGGTACTGAAATTGATAGGGGCCTATTAGAGTCATCCTGTCTGATGGTGAGGAAATGAAAGATTATTGTCTTAGAAGAATAGCCAAGGTGAAGGGGGAGTCCTCTCGAGGAGACCAAACCTTCGGAATGTCAGAGGCAAGGAGGCCCCTTATGAACTGCCATCATGAGGCCCGGCGCCTAGATCATCATTCGCCTCGGGTAATTGACGCAGCATCGAGTGGGTGACAGCTTGAGATCTGGAGCTAAGCATTGCTGGTGCCTGGATTGCACGCGGGATTGGACTGGTGAGCTACACTGACACGGAAGCTTGAAGGTGTTGGTTGGTGTTCATGTTGAAATTGTTGCTTGCTGTACGAGGGATTTTTCCCGGCCAAGTCTGGAAAATCGGCCAGGGAAGCATCGTCCTTCAGTCCCGCTGCGGTATTTATCCCCAACCTACCACTTCATACGTCCACTTCTGTTAATCTGACTAGTGCACTTCATCGCAAAATTCGGCACTGACAGTACGATGGATTCCTCGGAGGAAGGGATTCAACCAGGTCTTTGCTGCTTGCTCTTGTCTCTGATAGGTATTGCTTGTGCTCCACATAAACTGCCAATACGGGGATACCTGACATTCGCAACAAAGGGTCTCAGCCCCCAAGAGAAGTTCTTCGAGTTCAGCTGATATGGTGGGTGTACATACTTTTGCCAATCCTGCTTCAAGTTCAAGCGGGGAGCTGTCGTGAACCTGGTCGAGGACTCCGACCGCGATGTATAGCAAAGTCACACGCTGCCTCCACGAAGCCCGCCAGTATGTCTTACACTGCTCAGCTCTATAACAAAAGTCACCAAAGGCATATCAAGGGAAGGGTGTGGGTTGTCGAAGCGACGGGTAAACGCCCTATTCTTTGGAAGAAGATTAGGCTATCTTTATAAGCGGTCAGTACCTCCTGCACAACATCCATCTTCTTGATTGTTCATTTGGGTCGATAAGTATACCTGTGATTAGATAGCCTCAATTGCGGGGCCATGGGTCGTTAGTATTGAGGGAACTGGCTTTAATCTTCTTTTGCTTTTGCAGTAGCCAATAGCTGTAGTTGGCACCTTCTTTGCTATAGAGTATGTAGCCGCCCTTGATAATGGGATACCACCAGATACTGTAAGAGGTCGCTGGCTAGTATCAATTCTCGGCATGGTTTTGCAAGTCTTGCTATTCGGCACTTTCTGTACCAAAGCCGCGCACAGGAGATCAATCCATCTTCGCATCGATTTAGGTGCTCTCCTTAGCTCTCACGACAGGAGGGTGAGCGGTGCTGTCAGTAATATAGCCGCATAGAGTCTAGGCATAGCTGTGCTATTCAATGAAGTCATTGATCAGGTTTAGGGCCTGATTCTTAGTCAAGTAATAAATGTAGGAAGACGAGGGATTGGAGAATTGGACAGTTTAGGCGGGTTGGCATCGAGACCGGCGTTTACGTCTGCGTCTGGATCTAGAAGATCCTCAACATTGAGATCGTAATGTCAAGGGTGTCATTACCATTGCCCAACTGTCTCTGGGATGCCTGCGGTCTTAACTGGAGACTGTGAGCGGGCTCAGACCCTGCCTCGGTGGGGCCTCTGGCCTCAAGCTTTTTGCTCTGTCGGCGGACCATTTGAGTCTTCCTTCTCTGCACGCTTCTGTGTTCAAATCTGGTCGCAGAGTACTGGTAGCTGCAACGCAGGACGAATGTTTCATGCCCAGGAAAGAGCCTCCCACCCCACGTCTCTCGAAACGCCATCAACTCCCCCCCCGATTTGAACTCAAAATATTGCAGGGTACTTCCTGCGGTCATGGGACCAAGGTCTTCGAACTTCTCACTTATCATGGCCATTAGGCTCTGCATGATCTTTAGCACATTGACTGTCATCGGAAAGATCAAGAATGGCGACGAGTTCTTAGGTGGGGTGCCTGTAGCAGCTCTCTAGATGGTGAGCTCGAGTTGATACGCAAAATTCCTCACGAAAGCGTTTTCGAGAAAATTGACCGTGGAAAAAGTTTCTGGAAGAAACTTAGCTTTCCGTATCTGAAAGAGGACCTCTGAAGGGGACATCGGTAGAGCCAGCTGAGATAGGGTAAGCATTGCTCTTACTGAAATTCCCACCAGCAAGCATGATAGTCCACAGCAAGCTCAGTGCCGAGTCTTTGAAGACCACTATTCTCGAGAACTTCGTCTATCCAAAGAAGCTCCAAAACACGATACCGGTACCTTGCTACCACACGCAGATCTCAATGAGCAAGCTCAATCCAAAATTGGTCCGCGTGGTCGAAGATCAAGCTTCCATCAGCACCAGCCCGGACAATCGATCGTCGTAGACAGGCGCAGAATGGCCGCGGGATATGTAGTGGCTCCGTTACTCAAGGCCAACCCACACACTAGGTCTGCTTCTTCCCTGGCTCGAACCCTGTCTAGAAGTTAGTCGATGCTCCTAAGCACAAGGAAGGGGAAGGACTGGCACTCACATGGAGACATGAACTCTGCGAGATGTGTTATCCGGCTTCGCGGCTTCCATCAAGTACCGTGTGTTCTTGAGACATTCTAGACTTGTTTGGGAGTGATGACCCAAGGAGAAACTTGTAGAGAATGGCATACTCATGTCGACGGTAACGTTTAACATCACAGGCCATGGCTTTGCCGACCTCTCACCAGTAGATAATCCAGCAAAGTGTTAATCCAGCCTATAGTGATCGTGATCAAATTTCCATATCCGGCCACTCGTTTCTACTCCAGTCCTTAGACAATACCACCACCCCACCAGGCGAGTTTGGGCGCAACGACCATAAGGCATTCCGCCTTGATCAGTATATCCTCAAAAGGATATCCTCAGTGCTTTAACATCATCTGCTGCTCCAAAACCATGCCAAAAGCCGCTGGGAAAGGTAGCGAAAGTGAACAGATGATTAAAGCTAGTGCGAATACCTCCAACAACACCCCGTATGGTCTAGATGGAGACGACGGTTGTGGGTCACCTAACGGTTTCCTGCTTCAGACCTGGGTTCGAACCCCAGTACGGGGGAATGTATTTTTTGTTCCCCTCTGCAGAAGGGGTGTGGTGTCATGAAGATGTCATGGGGGTGGGTGGGTGGGTATGTCATTGTTCTGAGATGAAGGGGGGGGGAAGGGTTGATATGCTCGCGCGGAAAGCATCATGTTCGGTATGGGAGTGTTCACGGCGCTATCGGGGAGTAGCTAGGGGCTGTTTGGCCTGTTTACTTGTGTGGAGACCACCGATAGTGGACCTAGATATCAGTAGGTGGTGGTAGTTAGTAGTTGGCATAGTCGACTATAGCCTACCCAGACTTTGCGGGAATGCGGATGCTCGGTTATGCCGAAGTGAAGATGTAAACTTGCACAAGCCATCCAGTAATACTATAGTGATCGCTGGCCCGTGCAGTGATTTTCTTGCCGAGGACAAACCTCTCCTTCATGTCTCGTTTTGTCAGCAGTAGTATTGGCCACTGCCTCGCCGGAGACAACATGTTCTCGCGGTTTGTTGGTCATGGAAAAGCTGATTCAGGGACAAGGCTTTTTTTTCGGGTACGACTCCTAGCTTCTCTGGATGATATTGACGGGTACAGGTATTCTAGGAAGACTGTGCAAGACATGAAGATGTCATCTCTGCGGGAAGGTGAGTTAAACGATGTATAAAGTGGTCGATATCGTAGAATGCGTATATCATTGTTCTTCCCTCGTTCGAAAAGCGGCCCTCGAACTCCAAAGCGAAGGTTGTTTATCTCTGTCGTCCCTCGGCTAATTGACTTATTTATCGCGAGTCAGCTTGGCAGCGCCCTAGATCAAGAAATGCCGCCATGAAGCCGTGATCAATGTCTGGGGCAAGCGAAGGACATGCTTTATCAGCACCAGCTGGCCATGAGAAAGATCTGAGGATTCTTTCGTTTGTGATGTAGACGGAACGCAATAAAGTCACGGATCATTATGAACATAGAGAATATAGAGGCTATTGTGTTTGGCTATGAAGATACATATGCGGAGATGGAGAAGAATCGAAGCTGAGTAGGTAGTATGGCGGAAGAGATGGAGGAGATGGAGAAGGATAGTGGAAGAGAGCCAATCTACAAACATGATGGATTTCTTGATTTACCACTCTGATTGATGATTCATGACAAGACACATTAAAACAGACAAGATCAAGAGTGAAAGAAGTCAAAGAAGGGGCCACAATACAAAGGCTGGTGAATGACAGATGACAGAGTACAAATTCACCCCCGGGGTTGCTTGAGTCCATAGTATGCAGAGTCCATGCAGTGACTGTGTGAGGAGATAGCCCTGATATTGGATAATCCCTGCTACTGTTGGCCGGTAGATTAAATATGCCTTTGCAGACCAGATAAAGTAGCGCCGTCAAAAGGCCAACTTCAATGGATATAGTCAATCTCTCTAGCAAATAGGACCAATTGAAACGGTGAGATCCAGCCCTGTACTGCGGGCCTTACCGTGTCGTGACTATTTAGCCTCTTGAGTAGAAGGTGCCACGAAAGCGCCCAGAAATATAATCGACTGAAACAGTCTCGTAATGCAACTCCCGAGAGCCACGAAAAACGCCACGCCCCCGTAGCGTCAGAGATAGAAGTCTTGCGTGCATGGCAAACATCCCTCTATCTGCCTCTATCGCACGGTATCATCCCAACGCGCTGTGGCTGAAAGTCCTTAAGACACTATAAGGACTCAGATTGCTCTATATTTTGAAATGGTGGTCATCAGAGCGTCCGCAATTCTCAACTCTGGCAAAAGTGCTCGGGGGGATTGTAATCATGCAGAGGCGAATGGAGGCTATAAAAGTCAGCATAAGCTGAACTATGCTCTCTCCCCCAGAGACTTAGATCCCCTGGCAACGAGCGAGCACTACGTGCCGTGAGCACTTCTCTCGGGTGGCCCCCCTGCTTTCGATAGTATTTGCTGCTCCGCGAAGCTGGCGAACAGGTACCGTCTTCTGGTAGAGACCTGTGACAACGTCTGTTCCTGGCTGATCAATACAGAGGTCTGGAGCCGGGATATCAATGTTATCAGACAAAAGTGCATACGCAAGTGGTTGAATGGCTTGTTGCTCGACTGTGAGAGCACTATAGGAAGGAATAGGAAGAGAGGATCGACGGAGACAGCTTCTACCTTGGCCGTTTGCCTCTAGGTATGTAGCACCTCCGTTTTTAAATTGCACAATCTCTTTTGGCCAACTCTTAACCAGAAAGAACTCTTATGAGATCTATAACTTTTGATTCGTCATAAAGTGTATATCTACAATGGTATCAAGTGCCGGTTCCTCAGCCAGATCCATAGGTGAGTATCAAGAACTGAGGAAAGCAGGCTTGTGCGCACCCCGACGACGCGAGTCATCATCATGC